TATACAGCTGAATCATACCTTGAGAGGAGCACCCCCGACTGAAGGCAGGCTCACTAGAAAGGCTGGTGGCTTTTCCAAAATTTACCCATAAGTTGGTTATTTGGAAATTTTAACACATATTTCAAAAGGCAATTTTAAAAAAAGTCTACAAATGCTGATTAATTCCCAACCCAATCTACAGAAGCCTATTTAAGTTATGATGTGCCTAAAAAGTTTATTTTTCAATCATACTTAGTCATCCTTCATAGCTGTCATACAAAATGTTTTCAGAGCTCCAACTTGAAAGCCCCATATTCCTATGCCCCAGATACTTGTTCCCTTTCTGTATAAGTCTGTATAAGTCTAAAAGAGAGTACAACCCCTCACAAACATGACTGTTTGTAGGGACATAGGAGAAGTGGCCTGGTGTAAAACAACAGATGTGCACTCCATTTATGGACGACAGGTAGAACACCTGCCAAATTGCTCTGCCTTTTAAAATACAGCGCAGGCCTCACAAAATGACCAAAGACAGAAAGCTTTGTCATCCCTCCCTAGAGTCATCCATCTCCAGGTGTTCTGGGTCGGGAAGTGGGGGAGCAGAGAAAGGATCATTTCCCCCACAAGCCACAGGGCCCAAGATTCAGACTCTTCTGCCATTATATGTTCATACTGGATTCACAGGCTGTGAATTGAAAGTATTCCCGGATTGCGGACTCCCTGCCTCTGAGAGTCAGCATGAGAGCACATGTTCTGGAGTTAAGCCCACACAGGTATGAATCCGAACTCCACACTGTACTAGTAGCTTTCTGTGCCTCTTTTCTCCACTTTAGAGGGTTTGCTGTGAGGATTAAGTGACAGGATGTATAAAAGCCTCTAGTTTAGCACCTGACTCATAGTAGGCAGTATTTCATAAATGTGAACAAAACGCCTCTTGCCCCTCTGAGGATAGTCACAATTTTATGTATCAACAGGTACCCAAGGCATATCTTTGACGCTATGGCTCAGAAACCCCCTATAGCAGTCCCACAATGAACATGACAAAATGAAAATGGCATGACACTAAATAATGATACAAAAAACACCAAAGCAGTTACTTTAGCTACTTCAGTGCAGGTATCAGCGCCTCATTTCCAGCTCCTGTCTTCCTCCCACAAACCTATGTCCATGAGATCCAAAGGATGATTTTTTCTAGAGAACTCATACTTAAGTAGAATTGAAAGGAAAAAAGTAGAACCCTTCAATATGTTACATATAATGAAAGAAAAATCAACTGCTATTCTGAAAACATGTATGTATCTCAGTTCTCATCATCTAGTATAAGGAATGAATTATGCTGCCTTTTATTTCCAAAATATTACGGAGTTTAAATACCATAAACTACAATTTAAAGTGTTAAATATTTAAAACCTATAAGGTTGATAGCAAATATTAGATAGAAAAAGGCCTCATTTCTTAAACAGAAATATATTCATATGCAGAATAGTACATAATTGTTAGATATTATCAGTCTTGCATGTAACTAACTTGTCATTTTAAACCACGAGTCATCAAGAAGCAATTAAGATGTAGTCTATTGCAATATGATGGTATTCAACGATGCACTTACCAAAAACATGCATCATTTTTCAGCAGCAATGCTATCAAATACCAACCCACAGAAAAACACAGGGGGAACAAATGGATGGGTTAAAGAAAACCTAGTTTAAGTCTCCTATTAAATTTTTTAAAACTTTAGACTTGGGGGGTGCCTGGGTGGCTCAGTGGGTTAAAACCTCTGCCTTCGGCTCTGGTCATGATCCCAGGGTCCTGGGATCAAGCCCCACATCCAGCGGGGAGCCTGCTTCCTCCTCTCTCTCTGCCTGCCTCTCTGCCTACTTGTGATATTTGTCTGTCAAATAAATAAATAAATCTTAAAAAAAAAAAAAAACTTTAGAGTTGGCATATAAGGGAAGAAACACTATAGTAGAAAGAAGACTTTACAAAGATGTGAAAAGATAAATGTTGTTATTGTCTTCGTCAGCTCAGAAGGAAATTGTTTTCTCAACTAAAACCATGTTTTCAAAATTAGAGAGGGCAAGTTTACTGAAAACATTCCTTTTATTAATATACAAGACTTTTTTATTAATATACAAGATAGTCTGTTTCCTGGCATGATAGAGGAATGCACTATTCTGATTTGTCTAATATTCAAGTTAATAGAGAATTAGCAGTCAAATAATTAGAATAGAAACAATATCCTAAACTGAGCTGAAAATAATTTAATATTTGACGATTCACAATCTTTCAGGGGCTCAGAGTTCTGATCATGAATGAATTATCACTATGTGAAGGCTATTTGGAGCCATCAGAGAAAATTTAATAGTTTGATTAATGTAAAATGTACTAAAGCCTTTCTTTTCTGTGTATGTTTTAATGCAAATAAAAAGAATCCTTGGCCAAACTCTGAAGAATGCATTTTTCTCTCAGTATAGGCCACATGCTATACATTTCTTATATGAACTAGACCTTTTTTAGAGACTCTCCTTTTTACTTTGCTAAAGTGAAGCATGGGGCAGCAGATTCAAGATGTAAACAGAAAGGTCCTTATCTCAGAGATTGTGTGGAACAGAACCCCATCACCTGCTTCTTTCCCCACTGGAAGGGAATAAAGTTCTCTGAGAACAGACCCTAAGGACCCATACCCATCCATTCACCTTACAGTTTATTCCCGAAGATTAACGGACACATCACAATGATTTTGGACAACCCACTGGGAAGGCAGCTATGCTCACCACTATACCACCAACGCCAACCTTGGACAACCCACTGGGGATCAAAAACATTTGGAGCAAATTTGAGAATATGAGGCCTGTAAACTTTAAATTTTATTATATAAATCAAGAACGTCAATAACTCACCACAGATATATACAGATACATATGCTTACATATGCATGGAATATTTCTGGAAGGATACTTAAGAAAGTGTTAGCAGCTATGGGGGCGGACTATGTAAGTGGGAGTGTGGAGTGGCTGGGAGTCTTCCCTTCGTGCTCCTTCATAACATTTGATTTTTTTTTTATCATATGCTTATATTACTTTTTCAATAAAACCTAATTTAAAATAGTAACAACAATGTGCTTCATTTTCTAGGATCTTTAATTATAAAGGCCATTTATTAAATGCTTATTCTACTATTAAATAGGGAAAAGATCAAGTTGATATTCTGTTGCCTCCCTCTTTTTTCCACAAAAATAAACTTCAAAACAAAAGAAGCAAAATTAATCAGCAAGGGCCCTTTTGAGAATATAAACCAGCACATAATACAACTTAAAAACTGCAAATTGAGTTGCAAGAATTTGTATATTCCTTACACTCTGTTACTTTTATTTTTTACAACACTAGAGAGGCCACTGTTTTTTATGGTGATATGTTTTAAACTATCCTTGGGCGTTTGTTTTCACACACACAGGACCTCGTGTTTTATCAATATCTTAGAATCCAAAATGTAATTGTTTCTTAATTGTGCTGTTTTTTAAGTTTCAAAATAATATGCTTTCTGACTCGTGGGTTAAAAGAAAAAAAAAAGTGATCATTTCCTTTTTATCCAAATTCACACCCAGAATAGCACATTCCTTTTCATATAATCTAAAAGGCACAAAATAACAAAAACTACTATAAGTCATTTGCAACTACCACCCACTCTTCTTTTTATATAGAAATCTTCCTGTTGGTTTTAAACTTCCATGTGTCAGTGTTGGGGAAAAGCCTAGACAATACTTGGAGTTGGGTGGATGTACTGTGGGCACAGCCTTCCCACACTGGCAATGGACGTTTGAGCCTAAGAAAGAGACATGCATTATGAGGTGGTTACACAGTTTAACCCTGAACAAGGGTCTTGAATGTATTAGCACACCAAGTAAACTGAAAATAGAAAGAAAGAAGTTCCAAGTCCATCTTTCACTATCATCTTTGGACTATATATATATATATATATATATATATATAGTTTCATACAGACTACTTTCTCTACCAAAATCAATTTTAATCTCACATGTACATGATTACTCACATTCATTTATGCCAAGAGGCCCTTTTCCAAACCCTGGGGGAGAGCGACTTCCAGGATACCTTACCACATGTCATGCACCCAAAAGATGAAATTTTAAACAGGAAGTAAGCCCCAAGTGGAAGGAAGACAGAACGAGATAAGGGAGAGAAAGGCTTACAAATTTCTGGCCAAACAGATGAAGAGAAATCTTGTCTGATGGTTAAGGGGTGGGGAAGCATTTTCCCTGCATGCAGCGGTAACCGCAAAGACCTGGGATGATGCTTGGGGTATTCATTGCTTTCCGCTCGCGCTTTCTGCAGTGCAGAAACTCTGGGCTCCACCATCGCTCTCCGCTTAGCCAGAGGGTCCACTGAAAACTCTGCTTGTCTACCGGGAAAGTTCACGCTTCTTGGGATATCGGGACCGTCTGAGTCTTTGGGAAGGGGGCTGTTTGGGTTTTGGTGGTTTGGTTTTTTGTTTGTTTGTTTGTTTTTGGGTTTTGTGGGTTTTGTTGTTTTGTTTTGTTTTGTTTTGTTTTGTTTTGTTTTCACTTGAGGATAAACCGTGCATTTCCTTTACTGTGCTGGGGGAGGGGGCGGGGGTAGGGGGAAGCTAACCTTTCTTTAGAGAGCAATGCACAACCATCCCGTGGTCTGCATTTACACTGACTCTTTCCTTCTTCCTTCCATCAACGGCTTAGTGAAGCTTTCAGAGAAAATGAGGGAAAGCATCCATCAAAACGCAAAGACGCAGAGCGGAACTTTTCCTCTGCTGTCAGGGGAAAAAAAAAAAAAAAAGTGACTTCTGCTTCTCACGGCCAAGAGCTGAGACTGGGAACCTCCGGACGAGGAAGGAAGGTCTGGTAATGAGGGAGGTGGGAGAAAACAATGCCGAGCCCGCGATGCCTCCGGACACCATGCATCCTGGCCGGATCCCCGACGCACTGAGCACCCACACCCACGCTCCTGGGGCGGCGCGGCCTCGCTTACCTTGATGATGCTGCTGCGCCGGGGGGTCGCCCGCACGGCCTCCAGGAGGCCCGCCTCGCTGTCCGCCGGGGCCCCCGCGGCACCCGGCAGCGCGACCCCGCTGCGACGGTCCCTCCACCGGCCCCCGGGGGCCCCAGCCACGCCTTCTCCGGAGGCGGCGTCCGGACCCACTCGGGGGTCGTCTTCACATCCGGCTGCGTCGGGCGGCGCGGGACCCTCCCTGCCCGCGGCGCCCTCGGCCATGGCCGGCGTTTCGAGCTCTCCGGGGGAGACGGCACGCCCGGCAGCGGAGTCCAGCCTCTGGGCACGAGTGCGCTCCTGCACCCGAAGGCGGCCCGGCCAGACTTTGTTTCACCGCCCGGGGGCGGCGGCGGCGGCAACTTTCTGGAGCGGAGACATCGCTCGGCTGGGGACGTCCGCGGGCTTCGGTCCGGGAGGCCGGCGGTCCGCAGGGGTACGGCGGCGGGAACGCGAAGGAGATGCGAGCGGGAGGGAGCAGAGGCGAAAAGGAGAGGGAGGTGTCCGAAACGTGATGCAGACGCCCGCTCCGCGCCAGACAAAAGGCACCCGGCGCCGCGCCGGGCGGCCTCGGAGGCCGGGACGTTCGCGGCCTGGGGGGGGGGGGGGTGGCCGGAGCCGGACGCCCGCGGCCCGTCGCACCCGCCACCTGCCCGCGGAGCGCGGCGCAGCGGCCCCAGGAAGTGCGGCGGCGGCGGCGGCCTCCACTCCGCTCTGTTGTGACAGGGAGGGAAGACTTGTTTTGACAGCCCGTGGGGATTGGCAGGCGTCTGAGCCTCTTAGGAGCCTCGCGTCGCCGAGGAGGGGTCGGCCCGACCAATCCCCACTGCGAAGGGGTGTGCCCGAGCGCGAAGAATGGAAGAATGTGTTCTGCGGCTGGGAGCCGGCCCGGCCCCGCTCGGGTACTCGAGCGAAGGTGTGAGCGCGCGTGTGCGCACCCGCAGGCGCTCCGCGTACGCTTTAGGAAGTTTGGATCTTCGAAATGGGCCTGAAGAGGCAACAGAATCCGGGGGCGGGGGAAGGAAATCTTCGGCCAGGCAAAGCCAAGCAGTGGGGAGGAAAGGGGTGTTGAGCCCGAGTGTCGAAGTGTTTGAGGGTGACAGAGCGCAGCTTCGCACCATCAGGGCTTTGCAGCCTCTCCCACCAACCCTTTGAAGTCAAGTCCACGTAGAGGTAAACGAGGGTGTCCTGCGGCCCTGGAGCTGAATAATTTGATTCGGGTTTCATAAAATGATCTTCCGTTCATTCTGCACTGCGAATAAACATAACAAGGCAAGGGAATCAGATACAAAAGGCGAGGGTAGCGGGCAACTCAACCAGCTAAGTCCCTCTGGAGAGTGTCTCCTAGCAGAGCATAGATATGCTGGGAGTTGGTTAAGTACAAAATGAGGTGGGGGGTTTAGCCTATCCTAAAACATCCCTATTTGATAACGGTTCAACTTCCTCCCTCTAGATAATCCTATATAAACATATTTTGCTCGTTTCCAGCCCGTTAGCAACCAAGAAGAGAGAGATCTTTAGATAATGCAATGTCACTGAAATTTAACCACAGAATGTTCAGGTAGATGTAAAAGATGGCTGTGAGGTTCCATAGCAGGACAGAGGATGATGATTTCGTTTAAATACTTTTTAATACCCAAATCTATATTAAACCTTATTTATACCATTAATTATATTTTAATTATAGTATAGCATTAATTATATTTTAATATTTTAATTATTAATAATTTGATAATTTGAGATGATACCCATTCCTTTGGCTGGCCAAGAACATCAGAAATACTTCAGGCTTTTAGACCCAAAATTTGTTAGAATTTCAGAAGTTTAGAGACTCAAGGAGATTAAGGGATCGTCTCAGGCAGCCTTTTTATTTTACAGAGGAGTTGAAGGCCTGGGAAGCTTTAGTTTCCTGTCTACTACTTAGTGCAGGAGCTGAAATTAGAATCTGCTACTTAACTCCTCCTGTAATCTCCGCTACTTTATCTCCCTCCTCTGGGTCTGCAAGCAGTCAGAGCTGGATAAGGCCCTTGGGAAGTTGCAGACTTGACATTTACCAACTTTTAGGTAAGTCTGAGAAACCTCAAGTCTACCTTTTCTTTAAATATAAATGCAGCCCAGTAATGAATGCACTGTAGATTATCAACCTCTGGTTTTAGAACCAACACCACCCTCTAGTGAGAGTCTAAAAACTGCATCTGTAACAGCAAATAATCTCTTCTTTCCCTCTTATATGTTAAAGACAGAGAAACTCCATTAAAGTTTCCTTTTCAAGTGACCTGCCTTTATTACCCCCCAGAAGACAGTAAAAGGGCCCCCAGACTTAAAACAACCATGCGTGTCTTTCATCTTCACTAATTAGTTCAGGGGATCTGTTCCTCTCTTGTACGGGAAATATCTTTATTTGCTGTCCTCACAAATATAACCTATTTTAAGCTATCATTTTTTTTTCTTTGATATTCAACTACTACTATGTTTTACTTTTGTCTTTATGTGGTTATTTCAGAGCTTCATTTTTCTTTGTTACCCTCACAAAAATTCCATTCTTGGGTTGTCCTCCAAGAAATGTAAATGGCAGTTACCTTACTCATTATCTTGTTCTCCAATATTAATACTATCTACAAAGACTTCCCATCCTACTGGCTTGTATATACAATTCTGGTAATAATTTGTTTTTTAAACTATTAAAATTAGTGTCACCTTATTAACATTTAATGTCAGTGATCTTCAAAAAAGAAGCAGCAGCAAAAGAAGCAGCAGCTGCTGCGAGAACGTATAGCATAAAAGTGTACAAATTTTTTTGTTTCAACTAGATGCTATCTAGTTGGACTTTCGCCTCTTCCCTCCTTTAGCAGACTTCTCTCTCACCCTTATGTAGAGGCAAACACACACACACACAGTCTCAGCTTCTCTCTCTTTCAGACTCTCTCTCTCACTCACACACACACACGCACACACACATGCACACACATACACACCTCGTACTAAATCCTTTGTTCTGAGCCTCTGTTCATAAAGGCTATTATGTAATTCATTCTGCTTTGAGAAAATGGCTGGACCCTAGTCTAGTCTTTCATACTATTGTCTTCTAGTATAAACTCAGTAGGCTTTTCCTGATACTCATATTTGCTGTTTTAAAAAAAAAAAAAAAGAGAGAGAGCCACCCATTGAATCTTCTTCTACCTGGGGACAGATTCTACTCTGGCCCCATTCCCAAGACTGAAAGGTTTAACTAGATTTGGTTAAATCAGCAACTATTGGCACATTCCTACCCCTCCATTAATAATCACCCCTTTCCAAATTAATATCGCCCACAATTCTTGCTTCTTAAACTTTCACCAAATAAGACAGCAATCACTTGATTGGCAAATTAGAAGCTGGGGAGAGGGGAAAGGAAAAGATGAATAACAGTAATGAATAGTGATTCCAGTGTAACCACCACGGAAAGGTCCCCTTTGATCACAAATCTCAAGTTCTTTCAACCTCACACACACGTCATATTATTCTGTTTTGCTTTCTCATAGAATTTCATCACTATGAATAAACTGTCCTGTCCATGGAATTGTTTACTTATATATTCTGTCTTACTCACCTCCTATCTCTGCCCCCACTAAAATTGAGAAAGTCATCTCCATGTGCAAAAGTCCTTATTCGTTGCTTTATCTCCAGCTCCCAGAACCTTGCCTGGCAAAGAGTAGGTGCTCAATAAATACCCATAGATGGAATCTTCACCTTTCCAATCCTCTGACTGAATAAAATCCACTTCTTATTTTAAAAAAAAAATGGCTCTGTCACTGCCCACACTATAGGACTTCTCATCTTCTGGGAAACTAGAATTCCATCCTAGGGCAGAAATCAGAACAGACCCAAAGCAAGCAGTTGCAAAAGTAGGAGGATGCTTATAAATTGGAATAACTTGAAATTGAGAATTAGACTGAAAGACAACTGATGAACCTAACCAGGTCCAGCAAACCTGAAAATACCTAGCCCAGAATCAATGAGCAGATTTGTCAATGTAGTTCTTCTAGCCCAAAGAAGTCACCCCAGAACCCTGGGCCTAGGAAAAATCCTGTGAGAATATTAAGACTTTCTGTACTCTACCAGGAAACCACAGCTGGGGAAGAGAACTGATAACTGCTTTCTATATGCCAGATAACCCTCTATGAAGTTTTATGATCTCCATTTTACAGACAAGGAAGGTAAGGATCAAAAGGGTCAATGAGCTTGCTCAGAGTTAGAGCCAAAAGGAAGTGATGGAACCAGGATGAGGCTCTCAGAAGGTGCGAGTCCAGTGAAGTCCTGGAGACTTTACCTGTTCTGAAGAGCCACTTCTCCAGTTCTGGAACCACTCACGTTCAGCATGATGGCCTCTCCTCTTGACATCAGCATTACCTCTATGTCATCATGGTGGAGTGTGAAGCTGACAGATTTATCGGTGTGTGAGGAAACACATTTATCCTCTTGTTCACATATGTGTAAGAAAGGGTATTTTTACATTAAAAGTCAGTTCTCCTGGTAAGTTCAAAAATACATTGAATAGGAGTGTGGCATTTTCAACTGAGTCATATATATCCTTATATTAAGTCATAACACTCTCTAATACACACAGTAATCATTTCAATTTGTTAACTCAAGAAAACAATTTGCAGGGTAATTTGTAATATAAATATTGTAGTAGAGTAAATATGTATGAAGGCAATAAAAGGTAAGCAAAACCAAATACATGTTCTTAAAATTCAAAGGTTTTTTCTTCAAAGATATTCTTTTGTCCCTTAGGTTAGCAATTAAGTAGGAAATTTCAGTAACTAAAACATAAAAGTCAACTAATTTTATGTAAAGGTACAAGTAATCCACTCCATGATAGTGGTCCTACAAAAATGAGAAATTATAAATTGTTTAGAATAGATCTAGATTCCTGGTTAATAAATCTTCAAAGTAATGAAAGGCATTACATTTAAGAAATCTTTAATTACAGCCAATGTTCTTCAATGTTCCAAGGCTACTGCTTCCTTCCCATGTTGGGGAACTTCTACTACCTGCAGGAAAGCAGAATACCTGGGTGTCTGTCCATTAACACTGCCCTCTCAGGAATCATGTAGACCCGAAGGCTAAGATACAAGATTAGGAGCCCCAGGCAAATCATCTGGGAATATTCTGTATGTGTAAGGCAAATGTCTTTTTAAAATAGGCAGTGTTAAAAATAATAATAATAAAAGAAAAGAGGAAGTCAGTGTTGATTTATTTTC